TAATCTTATTTGGGTTCTCACTCTTTTGATTTCAATTTTCTTATCATTTTCTTGATTTGTCTTTTTTTTTTTGTCCCTTCACATTTATTTTGTTTTGTTTTTTATCCAATTTTAATCTTCATTCTTTCAATTATCATTTTTTTATCCTTTTCTTAATTTATTTGATTTTCCATTTTAGCCCCTAATTATTTTTTTATTTTGTTTTTATACCATATTTGGTTTATATTGTTTGAGTTTTAAATTGTTTATGGTTGGAAATTGAAGTTTTTTTTACTTTTTCATGACTATTTTCCTACCGGGTAATCTTTGTCTCATAACTTGGGCTTAATTAAGTTCGTCTTTTTTGGGTTGTTTATTAATTTTTTTTTTCAAATTCATCATTTGATATTTGGTTATTAGGCCTTTAACTTCATTGTTTGTTCTATTTCACTTTTGTTAAGTTATCTTAATCATTCTGGATAATAGTTTAGTCAAATTAATACAAATTGACTTAGATTCTTGGTTTTTTAGGAGGTTTTTTTTTTTAATTTTATCCTTTAACATTAAATTATTTACCTTTGAGCTTTGTGATTATTTTAGTTTTCTTTTTGTTGGGTTATTTTGAGTGCGAGTTAGTCAAGTTAGCTCGAGTTTTCTTTTCAGTTTTTTATTTAAATTTAGTTTTTTTAACCAAGTTTTTTTTTATCCTGATCTTATGTCGTGGGTGATAGGTTAGTCGAGTTGACTTGAGTTGATTGAGGTCCTTTTCTCTCAATTTTTTGATGACATTGATTTTTTTTTTCAATTTTACCATTTAGCATTAAATTATTGGCCCTTGACACTTGTCATTTTTAGCTTTTCTTTCTATTAGGTTAGTATGAGAGTGTATAAATAAAGTTAACCTCACTTAGCTTGATTTTTTTAATATTTTTTATTAAACTTAAGTTTTTTTTTTCACTAGGCCATTCTTTTGAAATTCTAATATATTTTTTTTATCTCAATATCTATCATGAGGTGTGGGTTAATCAAGTAATTCGAGTTAACTCGAAACTTCTTCTTCAATGTTATATTTTTTAAAATTTCTTTTTTTATTTTATCATTTGGCATATGGTTATTAGACCTTAAGCTTTGCAATTTCTTTTCAGTTTTTTTTTTGCATATTATTTTGATTTCATATCTCAGGTCGCATCAATGTTATATTTTTTAAAATTTCTTTTTATGTTTCATCATTTGGCATATGGTTATTAGACCTTGAGCTTTGTAATTTCTTTTCAGTTTTTTTTTTTTTTGCATATTATTTGGATTTCATATCTCAGGTCGCCTGATAATAAAGTTAACTTGTCTTTTTTAAATTGTCGTTATCTACACCTTTTTTTTACATTAGAAAAAATTTGACTTAGTCCGTGGTGGAGCGTGGACTATCTATATAGTGTTCTACTAATTACTAATGATGATCCCTAATTACTCGTAAGTGACTTGGTTTGTGTTGGAAAAAAAAAAAAAAAAAACAATCTGTAAAGTTATTGAAAAATTATTTTTAAAAAATATTGATTATGATGAGTTATATAAAATTAATGTTAGCTAATATTAATAAAAATATCTAAAATAATTTCTTAATTAACTTAAAATTTTAATAAAATAATATATCTATTATGTTTTAATTAATTTATTTTTAGAAATTAAATTTAAATTGTATATATCCATTATAATTTAATTAATTTTTTCAAGAAATTAAATATAAATTGTTATGAAAGCATTTAAAGAAAAAAACAAAAAAGCCAAGTACATGGGCTTGGGTAGCCAATATGTCAAGCCTATAAAAAAAAAAAGGGAGTGTGTGAGTTTGCAAGGTCAAGTCTGCACACCTAACCTTTTATTTATTTATTTATTTACTTAGCTAAAAGGACAAATGATTCATTATCTATTTTTTTGAGCTTTTTTTTTTGTTTGTAAAAAATATCATACAACACATTTATTGGTTCAAATCCTGCTACTTTAGTTGGCCAGAAAGTCATGCTTCTAACTTCTAGGTCTTAAAAAAAAAATCATTTTTAGTCATTCTTTGAATTGAAAATACCTAACAAACATGATTTAGATCTCAATAAATCCATTTCTAATATTAAAATAGCATTTAAAAGGTTTAAAAATGAAAAAAATCAACTCAAATAAAAAAAATATAAAAAAAATATTGAGCTTAGATCTACCTTTTAGTGGTAAGATAAGGGGGAAAAATAATTCTAAAAAAGCTTTCTTTATTAATTGAAATTCATTAACACCAAAAATAACTAGTTTCGTTATAAAAAATTAGTTATTCATCAATTTCCTTTTTCCTTTGCCATTTAAAATGACTCTTTGTCATTTTTCAAATCCATTGACTAAATACTAAACAAATAAAGCTTAGAATAAAAAATGCTAAACTGAAAAATAAAAGGAATGAAAAAAGCAATTTGATAAAATCTAAAAGGACAGAAGTGAAACATCTTGTTTTGAACAATGAGTTAAAAAGAAAAATAATTTATTTTAGTCATAATGTTAAGGTTAAATTGGGTCAATTAAATCCTTTTTTTCAAATAAAAGAAATCAATTGCTTTTTTTTTTTGGTTTTTTGCAAACTTTAACACCAATCAAATGTTGGTATGCTTTTTTAACATTATAAGAATCCTATAAAAAACCAAATAAAATAAATTATGCACTCGAGAATCCATATAACACAATTTTGAAGGATTAATTTTAAAAAATAAATTGATAATAAAATAAAAATTCCAAAAGAAAAAACAATTCTAAATAGTGTTCTGTGATGGATTCTACAATGTTTTTGCCATGGAATTTAATTTTTTATAATTGCAATTGTAATAATTATGATGGTTGAAAGAATAATGGCCAATAAAAATCAAATAACTAATTTACTTTCACTAATCAAATAATAACCAATACTAATATTTATAACTAAATAATAATTTACTAAACATCAAGCAATGTAATAAAAAACTAATAAAATTTATAATGCAAGAAACTGATATCTTTCTATAAATCACGAGGGAAATGTGCATTGAAGGGATAAAATTAAAAGGTTTGTTTGTCGTTGTGGTTGAACTATTATTTTATTTTTTTACTATAAATAAATATATTTTTGTTTGTTTTTGAAGTATTTTAATATGCTGATATGAAATATTATTGTGATATATTTTCAAGTAAAAAATATTTTAAAATATAATTTTTATCACACCCTTAAATAGACACTAAAAATTCAATAGGCTACTTCAAAGAGCCAGTTGAGCAATTATATTATGAGTTCGAGCGAAAAACACTTTTTGTGAGAAAAGAAAATAAAAAAATAATGAACCGAGAATTTTGTGATTTTTTCAACATGAGAAAATTATTTTTTTATAAATTGTATTGGATTAGATTGATAATTTTTTATACAGTAAAATTGCTCATTTAACTCTAGAATAAACTAATCTAATGCCTACTATTCAAATATATTTTTATATTTTTAATTTTTGTAGAATAACAAAAATATTTTGATGTCCTTAAAGACAAAACCAATAAAACTCTCACCCCAAGGGTTTTTTCATTATTTTACATTGCTTTTATTATAAATTTCAAGGATATTCAAGGACATTGTTGTAAATTATATTTATTAGATATAATTTAAATAACTTATTGACGCGTATGAACGAACCCTATACTACTCTAGAGTACCAAACACTACCTTTTAGAGTGACGTTTGAAAGATCTTAGTGCCACCGACACAATGAGATGACAAATGCCTCAAATATGCACCGGGTTTGGTATCGGTGGCCTTTGCTTTCTCTCTTTTCTCCTTCCCTACTCTTGAATTCTGTGCCAGCTCCATCAAAAAATTAAACTAGCCCCTGCAATTTGTTTCCTCTTCACATTTGGTCCCTATCACATCAAAAAATTTAAATAGCCCATGAAATTACAAATGTTTTTCAATTTCATCCCTTTTTAATTTTTAATCTTTTAGATTTGGTCCTCTTCTTTTGATTACTATTTTTTTTTTTAATGGTCCTCTTCTTTTGATTACTATTTTTTTAAATTTTTTAATAAGTTATAAAACTATAGTTGTTTTTTAATTTCACTCCCTTTTATTTTTTAATTTTTTAAATTTGGTTCTTATTTTTTTTATTACTATTTATTTTGTATATGAGATTTTTTTTAGGTTTTTTTTTTACAATTTCATTCTCTATGGGTTTTTTGTTCAAATTTGTTCTCATTCTTTTTATTGCTATATTTTCTTCTTTGGTAAATTTTTTTAAAATTAATTTTTTTAACAATTTGATCATTCAAAATTAAATTAGTTAAAAATTAAGTTTTTTGATTGAACCAGGTTGAAGGATTTTATAGCTTGTAAGTTTTAGATATTAGACCGAGTTTAAAAAGTTTGCACGGGTTGACTTATTTTTTTTGTTTTGTTTTAAAAGCTAAACTTTTTTTTTTTACCTTTTTTATTTTTAAAAGATTGAGCTTTGTCTTTTTTTTTTAGAGTTATTATATTTTCATTTGATTTATTAAAAATTATTTTTTAAACTTTTGTTCTTGTCTTTTTCTTTTTATGAGATGATTTCAATTTTATTTCCATTGTAGCAAAGTTTGAGAGTAAACACAATTTAATTGAGTTTTTTTTGTTTTTGTTTTTAATTTTTTAATTATTAAATTGTTTTATAATTCCAGTTAAATTGAATTAATTTTTTTTAACTTTTTATGTTTTTATTTTGTAATATTTTTTAGTTATATTATATAAATTACTAATTAAACTAATAACTCAGGCATCATAGTTTTTTCTTAACAATATTTTTTTACATTGAAAGAAATGTTGCCGTGCCAGCAAGAGAGCTCGAGCTACAAATATAGTATATATACAAATATATGAAGCCTCCTTGAAGAAAAATCAACCATACAATACATTCATTTTAATTCCAATAAATAAATTATAGTAATAAACATCCAAATCAAGTAGCAAAATATAATCAACGTGATCCCCAAATCCGACAAATGCACATTACCTGTCTGTCTTCCAATACATATGTTTATTTATTTAATTTAAGAACCCCTATAAACGCCGATTATTGCAGGCCAGCCGTTTCGTGTATTTCTCCTCTCCTTCCTACCGACCACCACCTCGACCACCACCCCACCACCCCACCAATTCCTTTTAGCTAGGGTTTTACATCTCTCTGGTAGAGAATAAAATATATGCTCAAAATATCAAATGTTCTCCAGATCTATAAATAAACTACTATTACTTCAGTACCTTAATCTGTCCACATAGAAGATAGAGAAATTGGGATCTCTCTCTCTGTCTGTTTCTTTTCTAACACATACAGAGACAGCTACTAGAACCATTATTTATTACATCTAATAAGACTCTCTCCTAGAATTTAGAGAGACAGTAAGATAAAACTATGGGACAAGACAACTTCGCTGCTCAGAAGAGAGCGAGCGGCGGTGGAGGAGCTGGAGGGCTGCCCACAACACCCCCCGCCAACGGCAGAGCTCGTACAATGCTCCCACGTGGCAGGCAGATCAACAAGACATTCAACAACATCAAAATCACAATCCTCTGTGGCTTCGTTACTATCCTCGTCCTACGTGGCACTGTCGGCATTGGAAGCCTCAGTAGCTCCGACGCCGACGCCGTCAATCAGAATCTAATCGAAGAGACTAACCGGATCCTTAAAGAGATCCGATCCGACAGCGAACCAGATGATCCTGCAGAATCGGAGATCAACCCTAATGCCACCTACAGTTTAGGTCCCAAAATATCCAATTGGAACCAGGAACGCAAGGTATGGCTGAGTCAAAACCCTGAATTCCCCAACTTTGTTAATGGGAAGCCTCGGATTTTGCTATTAACCGGGTCTCCTCCTAGTCCCTGTGATAACCCGATTGGAGATCATTATTTGTTAAAGGCTATAAAGAATAAGATTGATTATTGTAGGATTCATGGGATTGAGATCGTTTATAATATGGCTCATTTGGATAAGGAACTTGCTGGGTATTGGGCGAAATTACCAATGATTAGGAGGCTGATGTTGTCCCACCCAGAAATCGAGTGGATTTGGTGGATGGATAGTGATGCGATGTTTACTGATATGGTGTTTGAGATCCCCTTGTCCAAGTATGATAAGCATAATTTGGTGATTCATGGCTATCCCGATTTGTTGTTTGAGCAGAAGTCGTGGATTGCCTTGAATACAGGGAGTTTTTTGTTTAGGAATTGTCAGTGGAGCTTGGATTTGCTTGATGCATGGGCTCCGATGGGTCCTAAAGGTGCCATTAGAGAGGAGGCTGGCAAGATTTTGACAGCCAATTTGAAGGGAAGGCCGGCATTTGAGGCAGATGATCAATCAGCTTTGATCTACTTGTTGCTCTCGCAGAAGGATCAGTGGATGGATAAGGTTTATATTGAGAATCAGTATTATTTGCATGGGTATTGGGCTGGCTTGGTCGATCGGTATGAGGAGATGATGGAGAAGTATCATCCGGGATTGGGTGATGAGAGGTGGCCATTTGTCACCCATTTCGTTGGTTGCAAACCTTGTGGTAGCTATGGGGATTATCCAGTCGAGCAGTGCATGAGAAGCATGGAGAGAGCTTTCAATTTTGCCGACAACCAGGTTCTTAAGCTGTATGGATTTGGTCATAGGGGATTGTTGAGCCCTAAGATCAAGAGAATTAGGAATGAAACTGTGACTCCATTGGAGTATGTAGACCAGTTTGATATTAGGCGTCCTGTGCATGGCGACAGTGGATCAAGGAGCTAGCAATCGAAAGGCGTTCCATAAGTCATTATTGTAGGTAATGTAATTCCTCAGTCAAAGGCAGATTTAAATTTGATAGCACTTTCAGTTTAAGTGAGTTTTGCTTGTGATGTTCTTTCTGCTTCTGAGAACTACAGGGTAAAATTCTTTTATTAACTCAAATTTGTTTTCCAGCTATGTATGAGTAATCAATGAAGCAAATTTATAATCGAAACTGCTGTCCTGTGTTTTTTCTCCCTGATGCCCTTCCTTTTATTTTTTTATTGTTAGTTTATATATTGCATGATCTATTTATTTTCCTTTCCATTCTTCATTTCTCCAGTTACCTTTGGTTGAAATGAAATGTTAACAAATTCATCCCCTCTTTTTCTTTTTTCTCGTGAAGTTCATTGCAAACTGGCATATGATCCATGGACTGAATTTGGTGGGTGTTCGGCATTGTGGTTAGCCAAAATGGAAAACTCACCATAGTTGCAAAAGTGCTCAGTTATCATCATACCTTTGTAGGGGTGCCCTTTTATGTTTTTTGACAAAAGTTGGTTCAATGTATTTTGGAAAAGCATGATTTTATGCTTTTGAAATTCCTTTTGGTTAAGAGATTATCATTTGAACCTTGTATTACAGTAACATTAATATTTTCTCAATTAAATTATATATATTTTCTTCATCTTAACATTTGGTGCTTTTAGTGGTGCGGGTCATCAACACCTCTTCCAGAAAGCTTTCCAACAAAAAACGCAGCTACTTTCCTCTCCACTGATATCCCTTGTATTACCATCTTCACATTAACTGATTCGACATGCTGAAACATCTAGCGATGAAATGGTTGATGTTAATTTTCTTCTTTGAGACTACAAAACATGCATACAGTTTTTGTTATATTCCTCTAGTTTGCGTGCCCACATGATTGTGCGAAAAACTGGGTTGTGTGAACCTATGTAGCACAAATATTCATACTAAGGCAACATGTTGCAGGAAATATATATAGTCACAATACAAGATAATTAGCAAAACACAAATATAAAGTTGATCTACAAAACACAAATAGCATATACAAAAGTTTTAGCCTAAATAAAACTATATATAACTCCTGAAAGAAAATCACTGCTGTGGTGGTGGATGAAAGCATAATAATGTAGACAATAAATAAATATGGATTCATATCATAGGCATGCATGCTTTACTCTTGTACATATTACAATACAGCTCTATTATCTTGCTTTTCATTCCATATCTTCTCCCTTTTCTTTTAAATACTATATTTGCTAACAATTCAGCATCACATAACTACTTCCAAACCATTCGGTTGACTAAAGTTAATTTCCTTGGTGTTCAACAACATGGGCTAACCCATTTTAAGGCTATTTAGTTGCTCTTTGCCACAAATATCATCTGTGTGGTGTCATTTTTCTTCATCTCTCATGATATCATTCTTTCCCTCTTAAAAGCCTATTTTCTTATGATATCAATGTCTCATGTTGAAGGCATACATTTTCATAAATTCAATTTTCCGCCATGAAAGCATAATTTCTGTAAATTAAATTTCCAGCCCAAAGGCATAACTTTAATGAATTCAATTATACACTATGTATAAGTTTCTTTGTATTCTAGCATTACAAGAACATTTTAAATAATTAAATAAGCAATGGGGTGATCCTTGTGGTATGTGTTCTTGACAAGTCAGGTCCCAAACCATATGTTCCACCTATAATTTCAATGATAACAACTCAACATATCTGTTTGGCTAAACACGCACATTCATTTATTTAGAACTAATTTAACCCATATGCTTACACACACAACTTTCATATGCAATCATACAAACTTAGTTCATACATTTCAACTATACATAAAATTAGTCAATAATTACTCGTATTTATGGCTATCCTAGCAGCCCATATTCATATACTTTTGGGCTACCCTTATTTTTACACATTATGACAGCTTTCATTTTCCAAGTGATAGGGCTACCATAACAGCCCTAAATTCCTGATGTTTGTGTTACTGTAACAGCCCAAACTTTCATAAATTTGCCCTACCACAACAAGTCTCATCTTTTGTATGTTAGGGTTGCCGTAACAGCCCTGATTTCCATCGTTTGAGTTGTCATAACAATCTCAGTTTCCTTGCATTCAGCTTTGTTATTTGAGATTGGAGTTTTATTATTTAATTTAATTTAATTTTTATAGATTATTCTAGTCAGGTTATATATTTGATAGGCTAATATAAATGGTCTTGAATTGATTCTTTTATTATTTTTATTTTTATTTTTTAGTACTTAATTTGTTAAAAATTGAGTTTTAAAGTTTTTCATTTTACTTTATAGAAGCTATCATGTTCTCATTTAATTTTTTCTTCATAATCAATTATTGAAAGGATTTATGTATGTGATTTTGACAAGCATTCATTTTTGAGTTAATCATTGTGTGTGTATATATATATATAGTTTAGTTTATTTACTATCATTACCCAGTTTTTAATCATATTATTAAATTAAGTGTGCTCATTGAACAAAATAGAGTTAATAACCTAATTTTTAATTTTTTTTTTATTGTTTGTCATATCATTAAGGGGTAAGCTAGCTTTCAGATGTTAAAATGTGTTTTTTATTTGTGATCTAGAATTATGTAAAACAATTTCTTTAATATTTTTGAAATAACTATACAGTCTTCCTAAACAAATGTTGATATCTTCTTAATCATGTCCAAAAAAAAATCAAGTAGCTTGGAGACAAGACTTATGTCTTGAATAATTAGTTAATATCTTAATTCTAGCAATGTATTCCATTATCCTTTTGAGGTGACTAATGGTCTAATATTTAATACCTATAAAAAATTAATTTTAATAATTTTTTTTAATAATTATATAAATAATTTTTTTTTTAAAATATAACAATATTATTAATTAAAAAAATATTCTAAAAATAAATATAAAAATACCTCAAACTCGTAATTTTAGTTAGGTATGCAGGCTAGGAAGCCTGGTGATGGCATGCAGAGTGCTTTCAAGTAATGGTTACTTCACGCTTTAAGGAAATGGTTACTTCACAGTTTACTCTTTTGAAGAAACGAGTTTCAATTTCCTATTATGGGTTGGACTTTCCTCAATTATGTTTGACTTGAAATAAGATCTTTTGTTAGTTTGATTGTGTTTCCATCCAAAAATAATATTGGAAATGTACATAGTACCTGGTGCCCCCTCAATTTAATTGACTTCTCATGTATAAAGTTAATTAATCCATATATTCTCTCTCTCTCTCTCTCTCTCTCTTGTTCTTGTTCTTGGTCTTCTTTTTTAATTTTTTTTAATTTTTATTATTATCATTATTGCAATTTCCCCATGTACCCAATTTTTACTGTATCAATTAGTAAACAGTACCGTGCTCTGCTATGCCATGGGTTAAATTAAAAATTATTTTTTAAATGAAAAAAATATGCAAGTATTATTAATGTATCTTGGAGCTTATTTTTTTATAATTATGAACTGAAAATTTAATACTTGAATTTAATAAAATAAACCGAGACTATATATATGTTAATAGATATTAAAAGAGTAATCAATTCCAACTAGAAACTTAGTTAGAAAGCTGGGGGGGAAAAATGCTAATTAAGATATCTAATTTTGTATTGTTGTAAGCTCTTCAAACTTTTTATATGCAATTATATGGTAGTAATTCATTTTTGTTAGAAAAGTAATAATTTAAATCTCATTGAAATAAAGTATGTTTCTAGTATAATTAATTTTTTATTAATATTTTTTCTACAAAGAAAAATAATTTTTTTTTTGTCTATGTTAAACATCTTCAAACTTCTTTTTTGGCAATGCTTTTGCTAGAATATATTTGTTTTGAAGACACCTTAAATCACAAAAGCAAGTCTTCATTATAAAAAAAATAATATCATGATGATTTTAATGTAAATATACAAAAAATAATAAAAATAATATACTATTGGTTTATTGTTATGAAAAATTTTGTGACAATATTATCAAACTTGGTATAACTAAGTAGGTCAACCCAACTCTTGAGTGGTTTGAGTTTGAACTAAAATTAGGTGTGAGTTTATATATTATGACTCGATTGATTTAGCTAGTCTAAATACAATCTAATTGATTCGAGCAAAACCTAGTTCGATTATTAAATATTTTTAAAGATAACATCATTTTAACTTTTTTTTTAATATTAAGCTGATATTTTTTATTATTACAGGTTAACACAAGCTAACTTATCAATCTGTGACATAAATCTGATTGGATTTAGTGCCTGTTTGAGAGTGTAGTAGCGGTTATTTTTTAAAATATTTTTCATGATGAAATGTATCAAAATGATATTTTTTATTTTTAATATTAGAGCATAAAAAAATCCAAAATATTCAAAAAATTTTTACAAAATTTTAAATTTTTATTGAACATGGTGTGTAAAAAAAGAGAGGCTCTAGCTAATGCCATAGAAAATAATCCAAGTATCAAAAAGTTAATGTTGCCTGTGTTTTTCTTTCCTTCAATTGTGGCTTAATTAACGGGAAGGATTGAAGGAGATTTGGTGAGATGTTTAGAACCCTTGCACATCAATGCTGAATGGTTTTATTTCCCTTTCCTTTTCTTCCACTCTGAACGTAGAAAATAAACACCACAACCCAACCATCTGCCAAGGGATTCACTAAAAACAAAAACTTAATTCGTCGTCAAGAAGAGACAAAAACAAAAAGCTTCGAAATTGACGCTCGAAAAAATGTCCCAAAGATTTTTAATACAAAACTTTTGACCCACAGAAACTAGAAACAGAAAGATCCTCCTCTTCGTTCTCCAGTCTTCCATGAGCGTATGAGATGGCTAGCTAGCTGAAACAATCATGTGAAGCCAGTCAGCTAAGGCTTGCCTCCGTTTCTTTTTCTTTCAATCTCAGCATGTAATACTTGTTTGTTTTAAATTTACATAAAAATAAAGTTGAAATGAATAGGATGTTGGTTATTGGCTGGGTTGTTTTTTCTAATAATTTTTAGAAAAAAAGTGTCCAAAATAGCTATGATAAATTTTTATTTTTATTTATTTTAGGTATAAGACCATTACAAATAGCATGGTCAAGTATCTCATGGGTCAACAAAAATAATTAATGAAGAAGATCCATATTTCATCCAACCAAGCGATCCACATCTCTGGTTTAAGTATGAAGGAGTAGTGCAAATCAAATTGAGATAAGCCAATTTGTGCTAAAAACATTGGTGGGATATATGAACGAATTAACCCAAAGCCTCCCTCTTCCTGGTTATTACAAACAACCACAGCCTAACATTAAAATCACCGCAATCAACCGCAAATCACCACACTTGAAACCTATAGCTCGAAAGCACCATGCATTAGTGATCAACCACCTGTTAACTCCTAGCAAATTAAAAAGATCAAGCCACCATAGCTAGAATCTAGCCAACAATACATCAAATCGAACCACTACAACAAGAATCTGGCTAACATAAGATTGAAAAAGACTCATTAATAACAATCTCACATAACATCACCATCACAAAATAGTCGAACCATCCCAAAACTGCAATATCAATTGCCAAATAGTCCCAACAATACTGGTCTTTATTTCCTTCCAATGAAAAGACCACACCACAACGATACTTCAACCTAACAACCACCACTTTCTAGTGTATATGGCATAACAATTAGTTGAT